GAGTTATGGCATTTGAGTATTTAAACTTCACAACAGGGATCTGACCTGAGGTGGAACCAAATGAGTATGTCTGATGATTAAATCATTTTCTTTTCTGGATAGCGTGGGATGAGCTGGACCAAGGGCTTTCTCTGTCTGATTCTTGTTTTTTGGTTTCTCTTTCTAAAGGACACTTTCTTTGTTGAGGGATTTTAATGCATTCAGCATAGTCTTACTCCAACTCAGAGTTGTTTTGCCTTCTTTAGGTGACTTTGCCTCTCTTCTCTCTCATCTGTAGCTTGAACATGATATGCTTGGGCTCCATGTATGTGGCCCAGGATCATTCCATGCTGCCTGAACTTTATTTGCATCTCTTGAAGACTTTTAGAGGGAATGCAGTTCATAACCCTCAGCAGCATTTCTCAGACTCCCCTTTCCTCTCCTCCCCATTCTCTCACACCGTGGATGCTCTGGAGCTCATTTGTCAGATCCCCCAAACACTCCCGCACATTCGGCCTGCTCAGAGGCTTTCCTGTCTCCTGCCTTGCTGGCATACTTTCTTGTGTCCCATCTATTATAGTCTTAGACCTTAGACTTGAATAAGAGAGTGGGAGTATACCTCAGTGTGGTCTGTGTTTCACAGGTGGGAAGAGGGATCCACCAGCATTGTCTGGCATCAAGAACTGAGCATGCTGTGGATTGGGACTTGATAGGGTGGGAGTGGTTTAACTGTTGAGGACTAACTAGTTAAGATCTGGTATGAATGGAGGGGGAAAGATTTAGGGGAGGGAATGGTGGGATCTAGCAACTCTGTGCCTGAGCTTGTGATCCTAGGCTGAGGCATATGTATGTATGCGTGTGCATATATGTACATGTATGTACCATATTGCTGGAGGGTGTAGGCTGTGGTGGAAATAGGTTGTGCTTCAAGTCGAAGACACCTGAGCTCAGATCCCACATCTGCCACTTATCTGTGCGACCTTGTAAAAGATTCTTAACTTCTCTGAGCCCACAGACTCTGTTTACTTAACTTCCTGTTCCCTTGAGGGTCAATGAGTTGCCAAGAAGTTTCTACCCTTCAGAAACTAGGGTCCTAGGATCTACTCCAGACTTCTGTGTCTTCACAGAGGAGCAGAGGAAGGGAAGAAAGAGACCTTGGAAGAAAGGAAGAAAGGTCCTTCTGATGTCAAGCCTTGCCCCTGCCTCAAGGGCTCTGGATAGAATGGGGAAACCAGATGTCCTTTCCCTAGACAGCCTTATGGTCATCAATAAGCCACTTGTTCTTTCAAGGAGGCTTTAGTGTGAATTGTATTTTGTTGAACTTTAATCCTTGGATAGTAGACAGTCTATGTTTGAGACCTTTTGGTAAACACAACGTTGCATTAAAAAGGGTACATCATTATTGGACCATTCTGGAAGGCTGGATAGTGCAAAGAGCAGTACAACAAGGAAAAGCAAGCTTTCCCATTCACTAGTCACACTGGAGATTGTTGTCAGTGCTTCCAAAATGGCTGTATTTGGTCTACATCTGTTCCATATATGTGAAATGGAACTAATAATGTCTGTCTACTGGGGTTTTAGGAGCTCTAATCTTATTAGTTCCCTGTCAAGAACCTTCAGTGGTTCCCCGATTGATACAAAATTATATTTTCTCTTCCTGGCTTTTAAGTCTCTCTACAGTTTGAAGACAACATTTATAGTGAATATTTGTTCAGTGTTTTACAGTTTCTAGATTTATCCCAGAATGCAAGTATGGTTTAATATTAGAAAATATATTAGTGTCATTTACCACATTAAAAGATTAAAAGGAAAAATTTATATGATCATCTCATTAGATTCACAAAAACAGTTGATAAAATTCAGTATAACTTTATGATTAAAAAAACAAAATATACAAGGAAATTTTCTTAATTTGATTAAGGGCATCTACAAAAGTCCTACAACAAACATACACAATGGGGAAACATTAGAAACATCTTCTCTAAAATGAGGAAGATGACAAGAATATTTATTAGCACACTTTCTGTTCAACATCGTGTGGCCATCCTAGCCAGTCCAAAATTTCTTTCAAAAAAGAAATTAGAGGCCTAAGAATTGGAAAGGAGGAAAAAAACCTCTGGCATTATATATAGATAATATGATTGTTTACATAGAACACCTAATTGGTTCTTCAGACAAATAGTTAGAAATAACAGGAACATTTGGTAAGGTGGCTAGATATAAGATCAATTTTCAAAAATCAACTGCATTTTATAAACCATAACAATCAGAAAATATAATTTAAAAAAGACACCATTGCTATTAGAAAATAGCAACAAAAACTATACTTAAGAATAGATTTAATCAAATATGTGTAAGGTCTTCATATAGGAAAATATAAGATTTTGAGTGACATTAAAGAGAGCGTAAATAAATGAAGAGATATTCCATGTTCATGGATAGGAAGACATAATATCAGAAAGATGTCAGTTCTATCCAAATTGATCTATAAATTCAATGCAGTTTCTATCAAAATTCCATCAGATTCTTTCATGGAACTTGACAAACTGATACTAAAATTTGTATGAAAGATTAAAGAAACCAGAGTAATCAAGACACATCTGAAGCATAATAATAGGATTCGGGACTTGCCCTATCAGTATTCAGGCCTTATTGTGAAGCTACAGAAATAATGTGATACTGGTACAGAGACAGATAAACTGACCAATATAAGTTAGAGAGTTCAGAAATAGATTCCTGTATATTTGGAATTTTGATATGTGACTTAAGGTGGCATGACAAGTGAATGAGCAAAATAAGAAGTATTCAATAAGTGGAACTTATGGGAGAAAATTAGATCCCTATGTCATATTGTGACATAAAAATCAACATATAAAATAAGGGCTTAAACATCAAAAGCAAAAATGTTAAACTTTTAGTAGAAAATGAAATTATCTTTCTGGCCTTGGAGTAGGGAAGGACATTAACTATAAAAGAAATTATATTGGGCCAGCTCTGGTGGTCTAGTGGTTAAGTTTGGTGTGCTCTGCTTCGGCGGCCCGGGTTCAGTTCCCAGGCATGGACCTACACTGCTGGTCGGTGGTCATGCTGTGGCAGCAGCCCACGTACAAAATAGAGGAAGATTGGTGATGGATGTTAGCTCAGAGCGGATCTTCCTGCGAAAAAAAAAAAAAAAAGAAAGAAAGAAAGAAAGAAATTATGCTTGTGGGATTTCTTACATGAAGTTTTTCATCTTTACTGGGTGCTCCCTCACCTTGGTCACATTTTCTGTTTTGAGATTTTCTTTACTTCCTTAAACACATAACTCTAATCATCTGCCTTTGTGCATCTCTTGATATTTATCTACCTGTGCACCCAGAATCCAAATAGTCCCAAAGTTCAGATGTCCATGGCTTATACTTGCATGCTGAACTGAAGGTGGGGAAGGAAGCCAAAAGAGAAGTCTGTCACAGTCAGACAAGCTGTGAGTCTGGCATGCTGGTTGTATTTGAATGTTCCAATAGTTACAAATCCCAGTGTGAAATCTGTAGAGACTCTCAGGTCTCTGAAACATTCTCTTAACCACAGCAGCCCCTTTCTTGAGCCAATTTGCAAGGCTAGGTGATAGCATGAACAGAGGCTCAATAGGGAAAGGCAAGAAAAACTACCCTTAGTACCTTTAAGTTGGAAGGAGCTGTGGGTCCCCAAATCTACACAAATGGAGAAGACTGTTTTCCAACCAGCAAAGCAAAGCTTAGCCTGGTCCAAACAGAGGTAACTCCAAGGTCTCAGGCTTGACTTTGGAGCTGAATAGTTTCATCAGTTTGGGGAGAAAGTCCTTTCCTTGCTCATTCTCTTGATTCTTCTTTCCTACTCTCAATAAATTTGAGACGTTGCTCAGGAGTAGTTGGGCGTCTAGGTGGCATCCCATAGGGATTTGAGTGTTTTGTCTTAGGTACAGAGGGCTTTGAGATTATGAGTGACTTGCTAGTCACCACCTGCCCATTTAGCTCAACAGATAGTCTTTCTTTTCATAACAACTACAATCCCTTGTCTTTCTGTGGGATTATGGCTTCTCCAAAGCTTTCACTCTTGTGCCACTGTTCTCCACACTGTATCCAATGTGATCTTTCTAAAACACAAATGTGTTCACGTGCTTCCTGACCCACTTCTCTGCTTAAAACCTTTTGACGGCTTCTCATTGTTTCAGAATGAAATCCAAACTCCTTAGCTTGGCTTATACAACACTTATAAGGCTGCTCAGTCTTCTAGCCTTTTTTTTCTCTTGATGCTTTCCTCTAGCTTTTACTCAACTTCTGGTCCTTTGAACACACTTGACTCTTTCTCCAGATCTTTGTGAATATTGTTTCCTCTGTCAAAATACTCTCCATCTTCCTTTTCACCTGGCTAATTTCTGCTCTTCCTTAAGCTTTCTGCTCTTCCTCAGCTTCTGGGAAGTTTCGCCTCAACCTGCCAGCACTGGGATAGTTGCCCATCCTCTGTGCTTCTGTAACTCCTATCAAATCATAATACTTAAGATATGATGTTTGAATGTTTACTTGGCTTTCTCCTCCACTGAACTCTAAGCTTTGTGTGAGCAAGGTCTGTGCATTATTTATGGTTGTGTTTCCCTTAAATTTAAATACAGTGCCTGGCACATAGTAGGCTCTATTTAAATGTTTGTTCAATGAACAAACATCCCAGTGAAGCAACTGGTATAGTACTTAGTCTCCCTTCACCTCCCACCCTTTTAGAAATGGAGAGATGGAGGATAAGGACCTCCCACAAAGTCACACAAGTGGTTGGTGGAAGGAGCTGAGCTAGGACCTGGCTTCCACCAGAGAAATGCACTCTGTATTGGAAGATCCTGCAGAAATTCCTGACTCAATGATTTCCTTCTCTGCCGGGTCTGTGGTGAAGAGAACAGGCTGACAGAGATGCCACTGGTGGTTGGGCAAATGCATGGACTTGTGGCAGTTGGACAAATGAGTTTACCAACATGTGATCTTCTCTTTTCCCTCCCACTCCCTTCCTGTTCACAGCATCAAGCCGAGCTCCCAGCCCCCGATACAGGCTGGGGATGATGAGAAGAGTCAGAGGACGGTTACTGTTAACCCTGCCCACATGGGGAAGGCGTTCAAGGTTATGAATGAACTGCGGAGGTACTGTTCCTATTTTGCCTATGCCCTTTTGGAAGGAACTTGCTGGGTGAGCGTCATCAGGGACTGAAAACAGAAGTCAGAACACCACCACCTAGTGAATTCTGACTCTTCCCCACCCACTCAGACAGTCACTTGGCTTCCACTTTCAAACTCTGATGGAGACAGAATGGCTTTCAAAAATCTCTCTTTCCTTTGTATTTATTTAACACCTATCATTTTAGTGCTTAATCACAGGGGAAAAGTTCTTTATGGTTCCAGCAGTTCTGTTCATAAACTTGATTTCCAACTGAACCAGCTGCTTGAAGACTAATAATAGACTGATTGCAACACCTACACACAATTGCAGATTAAAGACTGTAAATGCCACACATTTTCTTTTGGCCTCCTTCTCTCATTCCTTGGTCTGAACCTAGCTTGTCAAGACAGCCACATGAATGGAAGAATACCTAGCTTCTAAAATGCAATTTAGCTCTATAAAGAAAGAAATGAAATGCAAATGTACTCATCCTCACTGAGCTAAATGGTGAGGGGTGTGCAGGCTATTTGTAAGGCCAATGTGCATGTTTGATGAGCTTGTTGCAAGACAGGTTCAGGGCACTGAACATGTTTTTCTGTACAAAGGCTGTGCACACAATCTCTTCCTTACCAGAGAGCTCAAAAGCTCACTTTGCCCCACTATTATTTACTGCATACTTCATCCTATTGTGAGGTGTAGTTGTTTATCTCTTCTTTTCCCTGTAGTTCATGAGCTCCCAGAGGGCAGGGGCAACTTGTGAATCATTTTGATGTCTAGCACTGGTACTTCATAGGAGCTTTGAGTCATTCACCAAAGATGCCCAGAGGCATTGGTTAGGCTCTGGGATGGGTGGGTGGGGGTACAAGGTAAAAAATGTAAACAGGTCAATGAAAATGATCTTTCTACAGTACAAATAGGTTTTATAAATGAGGAGTGCATCAGGTGCCTGCCAGGTGGTAGGTGTGCAACAATTATTTGTTTCTTAAAGGGTGCTATGGAAGAAAGGGTGTCAAATAACAGCTTTGGAGAACGTTTCCTTAAGAGGATGATGCTTGAGCTAAATTTTGAAGAACAATTAAGATTAAAGAAATGAAAAGTGGTAGGGTTAGGGGGAAGTCTTCTAGGCAGAGAAAATGGCATGAGCAAAAGCACATGTAGCTGAAGATGTGTTTGTTGAGTAGAGGATTGAACTACTTTTTTTTTTTTTTGTGAGG